CAAGAGCAGTTGATTCTCTTAACCGCTGAGTCATCTCTCCAGCCCTGACATCACACATTCTAGGCAAGCACTCAACTATTGAGCTACACATTCTTTTTGATTTAAAAAAAAAAAAAAGATTTACTTTATTTGTGTGTGTTTGTGGGTGGGTGCACACGCATGCATACCTGTGTGCCCTCAGAGACCAGAAGAGAGTGTAGGATCCCCTGAAACTGGAGTTACAGGTGCTTGTGAGCCACCTATTCTGGGTGCTAGGAACCAAACTTGAGTCCTCTGCAAGAGCAGCAAGTGCTTTTAACTGATGAGCTGTCTCTCCAGCCCCTGCTTGGTTTTTGAGACAAGGTCTTGCCATGCAGCCCAGGCTTGGCCTCAAGCTGTCAGTCCTTCCACCACAGCCTCTTGAGATCAGGCATTACAGACATACACTATGTTGGCTGGCTACCATACTTTTTATTATTCTGGCCAGATGGTAGACTCCTCAGAGATTAATAATGGGGCCATCCCAACCCTGTCCCCTTTACTTCTTCATTATGGCTGGAGGTACTTTCTGTAGCAAGACGGTTAATTGGTTTTGAGGTGTTGTGAGAGCCTGGTGAGAAGTACTGTCATTCACAGTGCTAATGTTCAGTGACAGAAGATAGCATTTCTTGAGTGTCTACAGTTTGCCAAGCATTGCACCAAGCGCCTTACATGTTATCTCCACGCGTGTGTGTAACGGACTTGTCTCCTCTCCTGTGGTTGAAATACAAAGAGGTGGAAGAACTTGTCTCCTGTCACCCAGCTGCTGAGAGTTGAATCCCAGGTTGTCTACTTAATTTCCAGAAACTAGCCTGCAGAGCCTTCCAGTTCCAGTGTCAACTCCGTGTCTTCCTAATGTCCACTTGTTAGTTTACCTCTCAGTGTTTAGTTGCCTTTCTGATCACAGCTAGTATCACATAGTATTGGCTTCACAGAGTTGTGGCGAAAACAAAAGGGTCCAATGTTTGTCAAGCACAGAGCCTAACATTTGACAGTGGTTAAACACCCCGCAGTAGCTTCTAGTCTTCATGGCACTGTTAAAAATAGGAAGCGGCTGCTGGCCAATGCTGTCGCAGTGCTTGAAGTGACCATTGCAGCCTTGCTCATTGTCATTACTCTGTCCTGGGTATCCCACACAAGATGACAGTGGTCCTGTGCAAATGGAGTTTATTCATTCCGGAAATGTTTTAGAGGAGCTTGCTGTGTGTCAGCCCTTGTTTTGGTTACTAGAATACTGCAGTGAACTTTAACTACTTCCTCCTCGTCCTCCTCCTCCTCCTCCTCCTCCTTGTCCGACCATTGCAGCCTTGCTCATTGTCATTACTCTGTCCTGGGTATCCCACACAAGATGACAGTGGTCCTGTGCAAATGGAGTTTATTCATTCCGGAAATGTTTTAGAGGAGCTTGCTGTGTGTCAGCCCTTGTTTTGGTTACTAGAATACTGCAGTGAACTTTAACTACTTCCTTCTCGTCCTCCTCCTCCTCTTTGTCCTCCTCCTCCTCCTCTTCCTCTTCCTCTTTCTCCTCCTCCTCTTCCTCTTCTTTTTTGAGACAGGGTATCGCTGTAGTCCCATGTGGCCTGGAACTCGCTATGACTCACAATGTAGACCAGCCTGACCTTGCCACCTGCCTCTGCCTCCTGAGTGCTGGGATTAAAATGCCTTTAAGTTTACCCCACCTGGCTGGACTTCTTGGGAGAAGTGGCAGACAGTAAGCTAAATGTAATTGTTGTGCTGTATCCTAGAAATGTTCCAGACTACACAGTGCTGGACTGTATCTCAGTTGGTGGAGTGCTTGCCTAGCATGCATGAAACATGAGCGTTGTTTAAAACTGGGCACGATGATTGATATATGTCTATCATCCTAGTACTGAGGAGGTGGAGGCAGGAGGAGAAGTTCAAGGTCATCCTCAGCTAGCAGAGAGTTCAAGACCAGCCTGGGATACACGAGACCCTGTTGAAAGGGAAGGAAGGAGGGAGGCAGGAAGGGAGGACTATAGAACAGGGAGGAGGGCAGAGGGCATGAGGTCTCAAGGTGGCAGGTCTGGGATTTTATAGGGTGGTCTGAGAAAACCTGACTGAACAAGTGATCCTGCTGAAGTTATCAAAGGAATGCACCATGTGGGCGAGGAAAAATAGGCAGATCAGAGAAAAGAGCAAGTACAAAGGCCCTGAGGCAGGAGGGCAGAATAGTGCAAGAGGTCAAAGAAGTGATGGTTGAGAAGCCAGAATGTGAAGACGCTTCAGACCAGTGAACAGAGAACTAACACCGAAAAGTTACTCCGTCCCCTAGGCCTGGGCCTGAAGGAAGATCTAGGAGGCAGGTAGGATTTTCCTATAGCAATCCAGGCACAGGTGATTGTAGAGTTGACAAAAGTGGTAAATAGATGTATTATATATGCTGCACACACATGCACACACACATAAATTTCATTGTGTATGTGTGCATGTGCATGCATACCACCGTGTACGTGTGGAGGTTAGTGGACAACTTGCAGGAGTTGGTCGCTATACCATGTGGGTCCTGTGGATTGAAGTCAGGTCATCAGACTTGACAGCAGGTGTCTGTGGAGCCATCTTGCTGGCCTTTGAATATGTTTATACAGGATTACATGCCTGTAATCCCTGCACTTGGGGGCATGAGGCTAGAGGATTGAAATCGAGGCCAGTCTAGACCACGTAGAGATATCTTGTCTCAAAAACAAACAGAAAGTGAAAGGAAGGGAAGGAAGGAGAGCTTAATTTGGGAGGTGGAGGCAGATTCAAGATAAATAAGTCAGTTCAGTTTTGACTGTTAAGCCTGGTCAATATCCAACCAATTTGATCAGAGTAGAATTTGATTGCACTAGTCTGGAGCTGAGGAGGGAAAATCCAAACTGGAAATACAGGCTTGGCCACACAGGGGCTGGCTGGTCAATGTTTAAACAGTTGCTGTATCAGGGATACAGGCTGCTGCTGGGAACCCAACTTAGAGCCTTTGTGAACATCTGTGTTACAGACATTCCTGTATTAGGCAATGTCAAAAGCATACAGCACAACAAAAAGTTATCAAATGATTAGGAAGTGATAGGTTTTGGATATTGAATATTGATTACCTTTGTTTTTAATATCGTTATTTAATTATACATTTATATAATTTCTTGGCAGGGGTTGATTGACCTGAAACTTGATATATAGACAGGCTGGCTTCGAACTCACAGAGATCTGAATGCCTCTGCCTCCCCTGTGCTGGGATTA